ACATCAGTTTGTCTCCCTGAGTCAGGACAGTCAAGGCTGTACAGTGTAGCTAGAGAGAGGGGATATAGCGAGAGAGAGGGGATGGGGTGAGGGTGTGGTGTATGTTTTCAGTTATCTTAGTGCTTTAGATTAAAAATTGTAAACCCGTAATATTCTTGGCAGGTTGACCTGTTGTACATGTAAAATTATCTTTGTTAGGAAATGCCCTCAAGAGAATGCATAAAATAACATTTCTGAACCTCTCAATTTAGATATTTTCTGGGGAAGCATGCCCCCATACTTCCTTAGAGGCTTGTCTTTTTGGCACTCCAATCAATGTCAGCTGTTTACCAGCAATAAGTCTTTTTTTTTTCCATTTGAACAGAGCATGAAGCATGTGCCATTGACATCAATGAGTTAAGGTGGCACTGTGCTTACCAAGGCAGAATTGAAGCCAGAATTAGTGAAAGAGTTCATCATGCAGGTGTGATGGTTTGCTAACTAACATTAATAATTTGCTTGGAGCAAAGTTGATCTACTGTGTAAGCTTAGCCGATTACATAATGTGCAATAAACCTATGCAGTTTGCTTGTTTTTGGCTACTTGTACATTGTGAGAAATAAAGTAGAGTACTCAGGTTCCTAGTTTTTCATCTTTCCTATTTTCCTATTTTGCTGCCCTGTTCTTGCCATGTTTTATTGAGTGTTGGGCTACATGTACATGTGAAAACATCATTCTTTACTCATTTTGTAGTCTTCCTGACATTTTTGGTTCTGCTACTTCAATTTCCTTTTGAGCCCTTAAAGAATTGCTGATTTTTCTGACAGCTTATCTTGTCTTTCACCAGCTACTCACAGTTGCTCTTTCTCCTGGTGATGTAAGTTCTTCTTCATCCTCATGTTGGTTTACACTCAGCATGCTTATCTTAACTTGGCATACTGCACTTTACTGAATGCATCTTCTTTGCTTTATGTCCACACTGTTTGATGTGTGATTGACCTTTTAAAGGATTCTGCTTTTTACTCATTATGGTCTGTAAAAGTTACTTTTCTTCTTTAATAAAAAAGTGTCTTAAAGAAATTGTGTCAGGCTGGATATTATTCCACTTAAAAAAAAATGTTACAGCCCTCCCTATTTTCTCTTTGGCTTGACTGTGTTTGTGCCAACAATCAGTGGCAACTAGCTTATTAATGTACACTCTGTTGCATTTCTTTCTTGACTCAGAGCTCTTTAAGCTCATCGAATTTTACATTTCATATCATGTTCAGTTGATTTTCTTTTCTTGAACACCCATGACAACAGCACCAGCTCTCTCAGTTAGCTTCTTAATCAGATTTCCTATCATTTGTCTCTGTTTGAAGAAACATTACATGAAGTCTCAAATATCATTTATATCATTTCATTTGCTTAGTTCCTTGCCCCCAAGTGGGGGATAGGGCCGGATCATTTCATTTACATCCCAATAATTTTGATTCACACTTACAAAGTAATAAATTAACTACAATACATTTCTGAATAATTGCAGAAGTGAGACATGCAAAGGTTTTACAAGATCTGAGCAACATACAAAGACACTGGTAAGTTTAATTATGTTACAGTATGCCTTCTCTACTAAATGTGGACTTGATCTTATGGCATCAATGACATAGGGCAGTGAAGGGTTTGTAAAGATCCCATGTAGCAAATGTATTGTCTACAAACTGTTTTGGAAGACCAGTCAAGTCATCAGCTTGTATTTCAAAAACCAGGGTGTCATCTCTTAAAGTAAACTAGCCTAGTTCTGTTGGATTAACTCAAACCTGCAATTCCATTTGATGAATTCAGTTGCATCTTCCAACTACTTTTCATGTATTGTGTGAAGTAAAATCAATTTGTAGATTTCTTTTCAAGTCCTTTAGTTGAGGAGAAGCTGGACCTGGAAGGGGAAGCAATGTCAAGCATTCAGCTCAAACAAGACGAAACAGATGAGGAGTTGGATAATACTCTTGACAGACTGGCAGCTACAGAGAGAAAAACAGCAGAAGCTAAGGGAAAAGCTGCACAAGAAAGATCCCTTATCAAACAAGATGTGGATGTCGTGAGAAATGAACTCAATGCAGTCAGGTAATAACATGCTTGTAAACCTTTCAGTCCAAGTCACATGCTGTTAGAGCAAGTGTAAGTGTCCAAATAGCACTTCTACACTGTCTAGATGAGCTTGCCAGTTCAATAAGCTCTTAATGACTTGTCCCAAGGGAACATTGAGGGTGAAGGTTGGACCAGTCATTAAGTTTTTAGTTATACCTCCAAACTTAAAACTAGCACTGCAAAAAAATTATTTGCTTGATGCCTGCTGGTACACAAATTTGCTGGGGTTTCAAGGTGCACAACCTGATCATGTACAAGTCAAAAGTTCAAGTTGTTGTTTCCCTAGGGAGTCAGTGCGTTTTGACTCATGAATAGTGACACGTTTTCCTTACGTAGTTGGAAGGTATAACAACTATATTTGAGTCCTACTTCCTTAGCATGATGGAATCATAGGAATATGGTTTGTGAGTGGGATGCTCCTAGCATTAATTTTGTTTGTCAGTTCATTTTCATGCAATGATTGATGAAAATAATGAAAGCCATTCCTTAGCATCATTTCTGTGGTAGGTTTTTTATATTGCCTTTGTTTTCTTAGAATAAGTGCAACCAAAGTAGGAGAGGCCAATTTTTTTCAGTTTCGAAAACTCATTATTAAAAAAACCATAATTAACAAGCCTTATTGAAGTTGACTGGAAGTTGACTAGCCTCAAGAGAGGCACTGTAATAGCTACAGTAAGTAAATGTATCTTGTCCAAGAACGCTAGAATTGAAATGACTTGAAAACTAGGGCTCACAATCCAGTGTCCATAACTTACAATAACTGCCCCTTCTCCTCTCCCCCCACCAGTTAATTGACAACGTATTCTGTATCTTTGTTTATTAACAGTGATGAATTAGCTCAGTTAAGGATGTACTTTACATCCAACACTCATACCATGAATGACATCAGAAACACACTCAGAGAAAATGCAGAGCAGCTTGTTATTCTGGGTAAGTACTGCAAGAACCAACCCTGCCTCCCCTNCCCCCCCCACCCCTCTGAATTTTTTCCTACCAATTGAATCAATTTATGTATATGTAAATTCTAATTCATATTTCTTATCAAAAAGTACCTTTACAGCAATGTCACAACTAGTACAGTACTTCAAAGCACTCTGAATATGATGTCTGTCAGAGCACTCCAAAAGGCTAATGTCTTTCTCTACAATTGTACGGTACACTGTACACATATGAGAAAAGGGCTCTTGTAGATACCTTTTTATTGTTACATTTAAGAGGCATATTTGAAGTATCCTTATAAATATAATAGTTATTGTTTGTTTATCAAAATTATTTGTTACCATGTGTTTCAGAGGGAAGAGAGGAAAGAATAAAGGCATTAGAGGCAACACAACAGGATAAGGTTAGTTTTTGTTGTTGCCTTATTATACTTAAGAGTGATCAACAGTGAAGATTTAATATGATGATCAAGTGACCAGTGAAATTAGGAAATAATTCCATGCACATTTTAGCAAAATTCTAATAATTTTCCAAGACTTTTAATGAGGTGAGCGAAATTATTAGAGTTTCGACAAAAAGCAAGCGAAATATTATTATTTCTTATTTTCACAAGCATACCGTGCTTGATTGTCAAGTAAACTGTCCCTTCTAGTACTATAAGAAAGGTATAGAGACCAGTTAAAACTAAATATGTATCTTTACAATGATATTGGGTCTAAAGGGTGGACAGAACTTCAGCCATTGATCAAGGGATAAGTCTTGAACTTGGGATGGCCAAATTTAGAGTCCAGTATGTAGTGTGCAAACAGAGTTGTTTGTGACAGCCTGGGGCTAGTGGATTCTATCCTACATGCTTGCCTCATGGGCATGTGTACGCATGTGTTGTTGTTGTTGTTGTTTTTGTTTTTTTGG